TGGATTTTACACTGGAACATAGAGATTGTGACCATGGAAAATAGGGATTTACTCGTACCAATAACAATTGAGGAATTATCCTCAAAAAAAAGGAAGCAATGTAAGTATTTGTTGGTTCACCCAATTGAGTAAGTGGGTGGTTCACCCCAGTCATAAACGGACTAAGTAAGGTTACTCCAAGTATAGGTGGGGTGAACTAACCCACTAACTGGGATGAACCACCACATAGCGAACATGGGGATTTCACTATGAACCATGCTGACTTAGGTATCAACAATTTGGATTTAACTATATAATTAATGACGATTATGAAAGATTGTGATTTCTATGACCAAAATATATTATGTATTATTATATATTATTAAAGAGTTGTAAAAAAAGGATGTTATAGGATGAAACCATGATTTTACCATGGAAGATGTGGATTTTACATTGGATGTATAGGCTTCAATGCATTTTTTGTGGTTGACATCCTCATTTTCTGGATTAACACTTCCATTAGTTGGCACCGCAAAAAGAAGTCCCAGTTGCAGCGCCCTTTGTCCGAAGCGGCTTTCGGCAGGTCCTCCTGGCCTCGGCTCTGCAAACTTTGGGAGTTGGCACCAGCTCACTGCAGCTGCAAAGCTTCGAAGCACCGATGATGCAGGTGGTGATGAAATCTGATGAATCTCAGGCGCCGTGGATGTCAAGAAATTGGGTGGTTTGCTGGAAAAAAATCAGCCACCATTTAGTTGGATGATTTAGTGATTTGATGATCATGGATTTGATGTGATTTTTATACTCAACCAATATCATCAATCAAATTATACTGGATTGTTTACAAGTTCTAGATGATTCCCAAGTAAAGCCACCTCCATGGCATGTAACCGTGGATTTCCCTTGCCATGTTTGATGACACCGAAGGGTACATCGGACCGTGGGATGAATCCGACCTGCCGAATGGTGGGCGACTGATGTGCAAAAAATATGGGTCCAGAATATCAACTTGTTTCACATAGCATTTTATTGGTCAATATCATTCAATATCCAGTATTCTCACTCACTAAATTCTCATAGAAATATCCGTGCTTGTTCCTAAAATGACTGGTGCCCAAATTTTGGTTGGTTGCTGGGTATCCAACTATATCCCACTTCACTCCCATGATACCCTTGATGTGGTTGGATACTAGTCCCCATTTCCCATTCTGACTAGCCATGGACTAGTCATTGTGGATAGATTGCCGGCCATTTGGCCATGGACTGGCTGCTGAATTGCCATTTTACTTGCTGGTTGACCCTAGCTAGTCAGTGGATTATATGACTTATAACCCCAGTCATCCCCAGTCATAGGTCGTTTTTTGGTGGGGTGATTTGTGTTCCACATTACGGTGAACTAAGCCGCACACACGATTGGGTGAAGTGCCGAGTATTTTTTGAAAGTAACACCCAAAAAGATTCAACAAAAAGTGGGCCATGGGAACAGTATTTTAAGTTTGGATTTTACCAACAAAACTATCTGACTATCTGAAAACTTGGGTCAGAGATTAAAGGTCAGATGTATACCCAACCACCAAGAAAAATCCCCAGTGAAATCGCCATAAATTGTGACTGAATCCCCCTGAAAATTCACGGCCCATGGCTGTCTCTTGAGGCCGACAATTCGAGCAGCGACCTGAGCGATGCAGCTTCTTGGTTGGTGAGGGGATGGGGTCGTTTGACCTACCTCTGGTAATTTGTTACATAGCTAATGAAAATGTCCCAGTCGAAATAGTTGAGTTTTCCCATTAAACATGGTGGATCTTTCCAAAGTTATGGTGAGTTTTCCCATTAAACATGGTGATTTTCCATAGTGTTTTGTATGTTTACCAGAGGGTATCATTTTCCATGATTGTCTGAGGAACATTCAGAAAGGGTCACTAGTGTTAGCTTCAAGTTTGGGGGCTGCGAAGCAGCTTGTGTTGGCATCAATTTTTCATCACAACATCCATGAAGTTGGGGCAACAGAAGATCCCATGGGCTTTTGACTCAAACCTTAAAAATTACCATCACGTGCGACGTGTCATTTTTCAGCATGAAGTTAAATGGTGATCAAAGCACAAAAGGACAGCTAAGAATCGTGGAACAAATGATTCATTCATGGAATATTACCCTCTGGTAAACGTTTACATAACTATGGACAATCACCATTTTTACTGGGTAAATCAACTATTTCGACTGGGCCATTTTCAATAGCTATGTGGCTGTTTACCAGGCCGGGTCATGGGGATATTTTCAAACCAACGGGATCCAATGGGAAGATTCATGGAAAAAAAAAGGGATCCAATGGCCTCACGAACAACGATTATAGATATGGTTGGGACATGTTGTGGCTGGTTATCTGGGTAAATTATAACGACCTCACTGCGACCTCACTGGAAATCATAGTTAGTAAGGGGAATCATCCCAAAATGGCCTTAATTCAATTTAATTCAGGTTAGTGAAATATTCTAATGTACCCAGATAGATATGGTTGGGACATGTTGGGGCTGGTAGACCAAACTCTAAGAGTCAGCAACCCACAATTCATTTTGGTCATGTAACTTGGACCTAAATGACACCCTGGGGGATTGCTGGCTCCAATGTCTGAGACCTAACTGGTCACTAGACCTCCATAGTTACCCAACTCACCCCGCCCATAGCTAGTGGATTTTTGGGGAAAACATGTTTTTTTTTGCTTCCAACAATCCAGTTGTGTCTTTTTGGGAAACTGTTACCCTGCCCTTTTCAAATCCTCATGGTGGTTTTCCCTGGTGATCCCTGGTGTTTATTGGTTAAATGGATTTAAATGGTATGATTTCCTGGCCATTCTTCGGCTTCCCCAGATCCGCTCGATTCCGCGTGATTCGCTTTCACGCCTTTTATCGGTTGATCCATTGTGATGATTCGGTGAGGATTGGCTTATGTAGTATCCCAGGTTAAATCCCGCAGGTGGCAAGAACATGAATATATATATATATATATATGAATATATATATATATGAATATATATATATATGAATATATATATATGAATATATATATGTATATGAATATATATATATGAATATATATATATATGAATACATATATGAATATATATACATATATATATATATATGAATACATATATTACATATATATATATATTCATATATATATATATAAATATCAATCAAGGACTGTAGTTTGCATGGAGAGCAGATGGCTTCCAAGAATCCCAACTGAAGGTGCCAAGCCTGCGGCGTTTGTCGTCAGTGAATGACACGGCGGGGTGGGTGGGACAGAACATGTCCCAATTTTCTTCGATTTTGAACATCACCAAGCTACACATTTCGGTTATCCAACATGGTTTGCTGGAGAATCCAGAATTTAGATCAATTTAGGTCGATGATGTTCCAATTTTTCAATCATCGTTAAACTTCCGTTTCTGGGGGATTCTCCCATTCCCATGGATGAAAATTGCTGGAGAGCCCTGAATCGAATCCATGGTATCATGAGGCATGACGTCACATCAAGGAATGCAGGTAGAACAGATGAAGACCTTGGGGGCAATGAATGATGTGAGGGGCATGTGCTGCATGTGCTATGATTAGAAATGAATCATATAATATCATATGCTATATGGATCTATATGGGGTATACACAGCACAACTTTGGCACGATTAAAGTCTGCACAGAACACGCTCATTGCTGTTCGTTTGACCTTTGGAAACCGGGGGATGGGCCCATGAGAACTCAACGGGCTGAAGTTCGACTGTGGGAAACTCATGAGATCAACTTGTGGAGAACTTTGGTTTATGAGTGACACATAGTGATGTGACACAGAACTGACTTTGAATGTGGTTCTGTTACAAAGTACCCTCTGGTAAACTAACGTAGCTATCGAAAATCACCATTATTAATGGTTACCGGAGGGTAACAAGGGGTCATCTTCAAGTTGATGCGCTTCGGACCTTGATGAGTATTGTTGGGGTACCACATGGTACCGAGACACGCCAGGACGATTCGGATGTCAATAGCACCGTGACCCTGACCACCACCTGGACCATGTGGGCGCCGGTGCCCAACGTGACTTACGGCGTGGGAAATATGTGCCATGGTTGAAACACAGTTGGGATTCCGGATGAAGACCAATCTGAATTGCTAGCTGCTACCCCAAGATTGGATAGCAATATAATATATAAATATATAATAATATAATATATATATATAATAATAATATAATATAATATATATATATATATGAAATTATGAAATTATGAAACATCCTGAAACATCCTGAAACTATATGGCCTATTTTAGGGGCTTAAAGTGCCCCTTTGGCCCCACATGATTGGATATGATTGGATGGCGAGGTTTAACATATCGGCCACTTCACCGAAGAAAATGTGGAGATGGGTTTACTGCATTTCGTTTGGTCAAAATATGTCAAAATCCAAGTTTTGCTGGTGTTGTTTTTCATGTCTTCAGGCTTTTCCAATGTTTTCCATGCTTTTCCCGTTAAAATTCTACGCAATACCAAGGACACGCTGTGGCAATGGGTTCTACATGACGTACATCGGCACGTCCCTCGCGGGACAACCAAGCTTTCAGGCGCCGGGGAGAGCAATAGATTCCACTGATCTGTGCATGGCCAAGTGAACCAACGAGAATTTTATGATTTCAGCAGCGACATATGGCGTGTAAGACATGGTAAGACAAATCAACAATAGTGACATATTTGGGATTCAAGCAGCAACACATGAAAACAATAGGGACCATTAGGGACCATCAAATTGATCAACATGGGGAGTACAAGGTGAGCTTCCCCAGTTATGCATTGGTTTATACAATTTTATATACACCATTCACTTTAATTAGCTGTTATATCTACCATAATCTATTATATCCATATCCATATCCCACCATCCATCAACCCTAGTTAAAATCCTACTCAAATCCTAGGTAATCTACTGTAGTTAAATCTATAGTCAACCAGGTCAACTTCCCTTTCTATTATAGGTTTGAATGTTCCCCTCATAGCCCAAGCCATGCAAAACAGCCAGGTTCTCCCCGACTTTGCCTTGGCCAATTGGACGCACTTCCTGGTCTTCAGCGCCTCGAGCTTCGCGGAAGCCTCCGTCCCCGCGTCACATCTGCGGCTTGGGCAGAAGTTACACCTGGCGATGGTCAGGTGATGCCCAAAATGGATCAAAAACTGTTCAACTTAGGTGTTCAATATGGATATACGGTATGGGTCAATACCTATAGATACATTTTTAGTGGGGTGAACATCCATTTACCAGCTATTTTGGGGTTCACTAGGTACCGGGGTTTTGACCCATCCCCATATGGTTAAATGATGCAGATCTACACACTTAGATAATGTTAGATCGCTAAGTTGAAAGTTGGTAAACATAATAGCTCCAATCTATGGTTTATGAGACTTACAACTATAGTTGGTGGGGTTTACAAACCCAGAAACAGAACTGGGGGGCCATATTGTAGTTGATTGGTTATTATTGAAGGAGCTACACCCCCTGATTATGGGACATTTGGTAATCATAAGCCATATGAATGATTACTGTAGTGTGAAGTAAGGCATATGCATGGGAAACCAAGACAAAACCGGTATTGTTGAGAAAATACGAGCTCAATTCACTTCTAGATGAACTTTGCCTGTTCCTTATCCCCAAGAATTCCTGTTGATGCCCATGTTTTAAAGCAATGGAAATCCCATGGCTTTGTATCGCCAATTCCCATGGAAATCTGATGGCGCCCCGGAAAAGGATCTACGACATGGCCGCCAGCGTCTCGGATGTGCGCTATGATGGCCTGGACCGGCACCTGGCCGATGGAGATGGGGATGAATGGGATGAACTTCATGGGACTTCAGACATGGGAAGCGGGACATGTTTTTAGGAAATGGGAACTTGCAGACATTAAATGATACAGTTGTTGATATTATATTGTAATATGTATATATATATATATATGTATGTATATATATATATATGTATTTATATATATATATATTGTATATATCTGTATAATTCTGTATTAATCAATTGTTGATGAGATGGTTGTATCCCAGGATTTCCCAGTATGCTGTTGGCTTTTTCATGAAAACTTGGATTCCATGGATCAAAACCCCCCGAACGGTCCGGTGAACACCATTCCGGTGCTCCATTCTGTGGGTCAAACTTTGAGACGGTTGAAGTCGAATGTTCATTCAGCCATTTCGACCATTAATAGCCATTAACATTAATAGGCCATTAAAGACATTAACCATTCATAGACATTAACCAACAAAGGCTTGGTGCGCCATTACAGATGTTTTTTTTGTTTCCCTTTGGGATCATTGGGATGCATTGGCCGATGAGGACCCGTAGAGCGCCATGACTCGTATGAGATTTCTTTCGGTGGCGTTCTTCAGCGCCATGACCCAAATGTATTTACTGGTTCCCATCCTACCTCTGAAACCAAGAATTTCCAATTATGATTTTCATAATCACAATATCCCAATCAACTGGTGGTGAATAATTGCAGTTTCACCCCATGACCCAATCATTTCCCAACTGGATCCATGGGCTCCGCGCAGGATTTGGATCCCGAAGAGCTGGGAGGCAACGTCAGCTGGTTGCCGCCCAACTTGACGGAACGCGTTCTCCGGCGGCAAGCTGCCCGGGGCCAGCAGGGCCATGGTACCAGGTACCCGTGGTGTTCAGCAACAAAACGATATAGATGGAGATCCCAGGTGGCTTTTTTTTTGCTGGGTGTTATATCTTTGTTTTTATCTTTGTTTTTACTGGAGAGTAGCACACATTGGGATGAAATGTTATTCTGACGTCATTGGCCAGATCATGATCGTCGGTTCTTCTCATTGGATGTTGGCTGCCAAACCTTGTAAATCCTGCCTGGATTTATGTTGTTCCAATGCTGTCCTTCGTGTGTGTGTGTGTGTTTTGTTTCTATCTCATGATTGTGCCATGTGTTGATCTGGATGCAAGCTTTTAAGAACTGATTCAGAACTCGCGGCGAGATGCCCCAGCCTTTACATATTATATTTGCTGCCAAATGGTTTGAGCCGTACATGTCTTACATTTCTTCATTTCCTGTACGTATGTCCCACCTCTGCAAAGAGACTCAACTGGATGATCCTTGATTCTACTTACTTATCCTTATTTATGCTGGGTAGCTGGTATATGTCATTTGTTATGTGTACAACCCAATGACCTCCGCTACTCAAGAACTGGAATATCTTTCACTCATAACCCATAGCCCATAGCCATTTATTCGTCATTTCATCATGGAAACATATGATTTCCCATTGCCATTTTGGGTGCAGGATACTACTTGGAGGTGCAAGTGATCATTCCTTGGTACAGCTGAGGTCAAAGTCTATCGTGTCTACCTGGCAGAAAGCGCCTTTCCACTCAGTGCTGCAGAACGCTATTGGATTTCACCAGAGGTTGAGGTTGGGAGTAGCTTGGTGAGCGTTGAAAGTTGGGAATCCGGGACTGGGCACAGCAAACAGCGACCTCACTGCTCAGGTCATCGCAGATGGTGTTGGTTGGATGTAGGATGTAGGGAACCCAAAACAGGCTGATTTTTTTTGCCAAAAGGCTGAGAATTTGCAGAAAGAAGCAGGGAAGGTTGCAGGCCTTAGACAAGCAAAATGGCAGTGAGTAGCGATGTCCTGTTGGGTTGTCAATGGAAGATGTTTTCAAACGGTGCCCTCACTTCGGTCACCATCTGGCACTGGACCCGCTGATTGGATCAGGAAGAAATGTGGCGGCAGTGAAAACAACTTCCGCCAAGCAGAACAAGCCTCATGGATTCAGTCTTGAAAATAACATATATAGCTTTGCAACAAAGTAAGACAAGAAAACTGTGACACGCTCTCTGACAAAAAACTGGCGTATACAATAATATATATATATATATACATGATTATATAATAATATATACAGATGTACATTTAATTGCAGTTGCTGGATCTACCAAGAAAAGCCTTCAAGACATAGAATCCACCGCTTCCCCATTGGATAGAGGCAGCATTCACTAAAAGCAGCAGCACAGATGCACCAAACATCAGCAACATAACTCCAGCGTCTTGCTCCAATTTTGCTGCTTTCCTGCTAAAAGCAGGAATTTCTGAGGCAGGTTGGGCTGGATTGGTGATGGATATTTTTGGGCAGTGGATGTGCGATTTCGGTTGGGCCACTCAATATATCCGAATGTGTGTTTTTTTGGGAACATGTGGTACCTGGTACTGGTCAAAATTCCATGGTTAGATATTGAACATGATATAGAATCTAAGAGTAACAGGGTCGTACATGACCTCTCTCTCTCTTTATGTATATATAAATATACGCATATATATATATATACACGCATATATATATATATACATAGTGGATGCAGAATCACAGATACACATGTGAATCACAGATACACATGTATGTCTCAACAGTTGGTTCAAGTGCAAATCACCATAGATTCTCCCATCTTAAAATACGCAAACATGGAGGGTCCAGGCTCTCCAGCATTACCCCCCTGGCGCCATGAGCGGCGCCGCCCGCAGAGGTGACGAAACAGCGCCATGTTCTCTCCCGAGATGATGAAGCAAGCGCAAAACATGATGGCCAACATGTCACCCGAGGTGCGTCTTCGGGGTGGACGTCGTCCGGTGGGATGTTTCGGGCCTTGGATTTATTGCGGGGATGTGTGTTTTTTTTTTTTTCCGGCACCGAAAAAGAAACCGGAGAACAAGGGGTTGATGAAGACCTAATTGTGAAAGATGGATGAACATACCAAGAATTGGGTTGATGAACATCCCAACGACTTTCCGGAAATCTTGAGATGGGCACAGCCCTCAGAAATGAAGGGACTTCATAACGTTGGTCTTTATCCAGGGACTTGGTCTGACTTTTACCGGGATTGGAGCTCCGTGATTGGCTGGTCCAATCAGCCATCTTGGTGGAACTCCCATGTAATTGTCATGAATTAATATGAATTGTCCTACATACTACATCATATATTTGTTGATCGAAGAAGGCATCTTGAACCGCAAATTCGTGCTGAATCCAGGACATGCAAAAGATGACTCAGATGGCGGCCAACATGGACCCATCCGTCATGGAGCCTCGGTAATCAAAGCCCACCACAGTTTGAATGGTTAACCCGAAATCAGATGGTTAAGCCGGCTCAGCATCTCAACAGAATGTAGCATTAGAGCATAAGAAATGAATATGAAGCTGAATTGAAGGAGTTGATCCGGGAAGTTGTGGTTTTTGTGCCTGGTCCCACTTTAGGAGTCGATGATGAAGAATATGGGTGGAGCAGCAGCCGGCGGCATCGATTCCGGTCAGATGAAGGAACAGATGAAGAGACGCTGGGGCGGAGATTTTGTGTTTGGCAACTCTCAGCAACAGGCTTCGAACCAAAGCATTCACGGCACTATCGGAAGGTCGGTGGTTGAAAAAAATGGATAGAAACAAGCACATAGCCGGTATAACACTGTAGAACTGTATGAGGTTGATTTGGAAGGTGTATATATGCCTTTTGGACGGATGGATGATGGATGGAACGTGTTTTTTCTTTTAAATTGTATTTCTTTGTCGTGTATTTCCAATTTGTTAGTTGCGTGGTGGTTTACGTTTTGTTATACTGTCAATACTCGTCTTGTCTTTCAGGTCTTGCCATCTCGAGTTGATGAAGAACTTAGCGATGGAGTGCTACAAGCAATAACAACAACACCACTCTTAGATACTCTTAGGGACTGATTTGATTGAAGCTCCCAACTATTCATTTGATGCTTTCACAGATGCCTTTGTACTGTCAAACCCTGCAGTTTGGGGGTCTAATATGGTTCAATATGTTTATGTTATTTGATTTTCCATTTTCATCCGCATAGACATGGTGTCCATCATGGAAGAAACTTAGTTGGTTCAACCAAGGAATAGGTGAGATGAGCCCTGAAGAGCTCAAGTCGTCCCTTGGCCATGGCCCGGCATGGCCCCCAAATATGATCAGTTGATAAACGGGAACGTGATGATGATGATGATGATGATGATGATGATGATGATGATTAACCGGTGGATGGTGATGTATACCCCATATTAATTCAAACTTTATAATGCTCGAATCCCTGAAATGAACACAAAAACCGGATTTGTTTCATATGATTTCCATGATTTTCATGATATCCACTGCAGGAAAGGCTACCGCGGCTACCACGTTTGAAGCAGGGATTTGCGAATTTCAGAGGTCATGACATTCTCAAAGAGCCCTAAAAATCATCCAACCATGGCCAGTTCGTTACCGCAGCTGCAACCTAGTGATAGGACATATAGGACTCTAGGACTACAAATGACTACAAAATTCTTTGAAATCGATCATCCTTTTTTGCCCGGAGACTTCAGCGGACGATTTGAGCAGAAAAAGGGGGTAGTTCTCATTGTTTGAACATATTTTTTGCACATCTCAGCAACATCTTGATTCCGAATCTCATCTTTCAAGAATGGCATCCATTTTTCCACCAGGCACACCAACCCTCCAAGCCTGGCCGAGGAACATGAACCAAGCCCAGCAGCAGTATGGCGGGCAGAAGCAGTACATGTACAACGCCTCGATGACTCTGAAGAACCAGGGCAATGATCATATCAAGGCGATGCGAAAGATGTGAACCGCTGAAAGGGAAACCCTGGAAATTGATGGAACATTATTTTATTTACATATATATATATATTTGTTGGAAAGATCTTGGGAGGAAGGATTTTTTTTTTTTCGGAGTGGGGAGGAGGGAGATGGAAGCAGCTTGAAGGGGGTGGAGATGGCGATCGCAGTGATCGCAGGCCCAGAAATATGCCGATGCCTTGAAAGCGTACAGCAAGGCACTGGAAAATCTGAAGCCCTTTGGAGGCGACGACGCTCGTCATGGAAACTGGCTGGGGTCCGTGGGGCCGGCAGTTGTGGGTGTTGGTTCGTTGGGACAGGACACAGTGAAGAAGTGGCAGGAAAACCTGGATGTTTCACGTGAGATGTGAAGAAATTGATGAAGACAGAAGCGGAAAACTGCGGCATGACTAAGGCGGCTAGGTATTCATGACAGGCAAGTAGGATAGTCAGTCATGAGATGAAGTACTGTAGAAGTAGATGAAATAGGCCACTTACCGAGTATCATGAAGAACAAATAAAATGCTGGGGTTGCAAGTCACTCACCTACCTGAAAATGTCAGCAGGTGAGATTTAAGTTGTTATTGGTAGCTGCGGTTTTAGTCTCTTGAGTTCAATTGTGACTAGAGTTCTCCAACTGATTGATATGAGTGTCTGATGGTTTTTGATGGTGTCTGACTGAAAATGGAGTATACCACCTCTTTATGGTCAGTTTATGGTAATGTTGAGAGGAACATGACAATTAATTGTTGATTGTCATAAACCAATTGATGTATACTGTATCCCAATCATAAAATTGGAATGGTTACCTCTATCATAAAACAATGTTTATCAACCAACAATCATTGATTCGGAATGGTTACAGCATTTTCCTTACCCCCATTGGTTCAGCAAGTGGATTGTTGCCCATCATTTGCTCCATCGAGACGATTCCATGGCCACATTCCATGGGCGCCCTTCAGAAAGCCTTGGGAAAAGCCTCTGGTTTTTCTGGTTGTTCCGGTTGCCCCAAGGATGTCTCCCAACTTCGCTTGTCTCTACTTCTGAACTCCGCAATGTGCCATCTGAAGCAGAAAGAGCCGGAGAAAACTCTTCAGGCCAGGGGGAAAATGGAGGAAACCAACAAGGTGGTGCCCCATAGTTAGCTAAGTTGGTTTATAACTCCCATATCTATGGTTTATGGTAGATATAACTATAGTTAATGGGGTTTATAAACCAACTTATAACTGGGGGGCACCATCCTGAAGGGGAAAATCAGTGGGAAGTCCAGCATTGCCATGTTTGGTCCAGGGTGGTCCAGGGTGATCCATGGTGATCCATGGTTCAGGTTTGCGAGGAAGCCCTACAAATCAATAGCAAGAGCGTGAAGGCAGGCTCTGATGTTTTGTGGGACTCTGGTTTTAAGTGGGGAAAAATCCTCACGGAAACCATGGTTGTTTTTCCCATGAAACAATTGGAAAATCCGTGAGCATCCTGTAGATGTTGCTTTAAGAACCAATGGACTGATGGAATCAGAGGGGTTGGGTGGTTTCAAGGAAGGATCCTACCAACTTCAAGAAGTGGGGTCTGGGCGGGGCCACAGATTTTGGGCAAACTCGAGTCGTCAACCATCCCATGCTCAGCAATCTTGACCCACAGATACTCACATGAGTCATGTCATGCTGCCAGTTGCAAGTTCTACAGAAATGAGTGTGTTGGTGTTAGGCCCCAGGCTACCAAGGATGACCATGTCAACCATGTCACTCGAAATCACTGGTAAAACTCACTGACCAAGTCGATCTGTCGCACCTTTGAAACTCTCCAACGTCCAGCAACTTCGTTCCCCCCAAGACTCAGTATAGGTATATAGGCTTATATAGGTAACCTCTCCCAAAAAACATCAACAGTTCTCCAGGTCTCAAGTCCAAAAGAAGTCCCAGTTTTTTCCATCTTCCAACCACCTGAAAGATCCGTGGTTTCACCCTCCAACTCCCACCAGCCCCAGGCCTTGTTCCGCCGGGGCCTTGCGCGAGTGGATTTGGGGCAGCTTGCCGAAGGCGTCGGTGACATGAAGTTCGCCTCCAAGTTGTCTCCCGAGGACGGCTTTGGGGGACTGAAGTAACATGAAGTAACGCCTGATCAACCAGAAAAAAATGTCGGATTTTCAGGCACAACTTACATTTTAAGGTTAACCATGCGTTTAGCACCCCGCAATCAACGGATCAGGTGATGGGAAAACTGGTGGAGCGAGAAGAGTGACCCGGTAACCCATCCATAGCCATAGGAAAATCATCCCATTCGCCTATTGGATACACCACAAGAAATCCTGGCAAAAAAAAGGACCCCAATAGATGAACGTTGAACCACTGCATTTTTACCAGTGTTTCTGATTACTGAGGAATATTTATTTTTAGTAATAGTATACAAGCAATCATAACATATATAAATCAGTGTCTAATAAAGCACGAGGAATATTTGATCACCCAGTATATATATATATATATATATTATATACACGCCCTATTGTTCACCATTATATAGATCGTGTTATATTCAGTTGCTGCTGTCGTAATTCATAATAATTGGCTTCAATCTTGACTACAACTATATAGGCAACCCAATAAACCCACCAGTTGGGATGGCTTATACAATCCATTTACGGTGATTTTTTGGGATGGTTTAGTATTGGGTTTACCAAATTACCTTGAATAGTGAATTTCATTCATTGGTAGCATTGTGTATACCGTCAGGGAGTTTGGAAAAACCGCGCGCCTGTTCGTTTAGTCTTCCATGATCCCCCATGACCATTTAAAACTGTTTAGCTTTCACTCGAAAAAACGATAAGAGGAAAAATGTCATTCATTGGTGTGATATATATATATACATATATGAGTATATATATATATATTTATTATATGTGTAGTGTATATATATATATAGATATACACACACACACCATTTGTTGATTTTCAGAAAGCTGTGATTTCACCAGCCAGGACAAAACCATCACCAGTGAATTGGAGCGGGTGGAGAAGGAGATCTTGGACAAAGGTGCTTTTGTTAGTCGTCCTTGCTCGGAGACGACTAAAGTCCTTGAGGGTTGAGGGAATGGGGTGATCATGATATGGGATAACATAATATATTAAGATAATATAGTTAATGGTTATTATGGTTATTTAACCCAGAAAATTTGGGATTATAGGAATATGATATATATATACATTATAGGAATATCATGGGACATATATACTATAGTTACTATGATATAATTATGATATAATCATATTATATAATATTATGGGATATAGGATTGTATAAGAGCATTATAGAAGCACTGGACTTGCCCAGCAACATGCGGAAGTTCAGGGATGTCTGGGCAAGCGAGATATTGGAGCAACAAATGACGAGGATATAGACCTGAACATGTTTCAACATTATATCATGCTCTACCTGAGACATTCAGCACTATAACTAGAATCTGTATAACAATATTACAGTATAACATAGTACAACTATGACCAACTTTTGACAATACAGCTGAATTTGGATTATAGTCATCCCCCACAAGACAGAACAGCGAACGCTATCCAGCCATGAAGATTCTATGTTTTTTCCCCTGTGCTTTTCTTTCTATCTTTTTGAGATTGCGAAAAACGTACCCTGTGGTAGTCTCACAATTAGTAGTTATGGTATAGATAGCCCATTTAGTTGGATGATTTAGCCATTGATGTGATTTTCCATAGCAAATTGTTACATTACCAGAGGGTATATCCCAGGTCTCTATAAACAAAATCCCCCTGAAATCCCATTAAACCTGATAAAATCACCATTAAACCACCATTCAACAACCACTTGAATCGACGGACGCGAAAGGTGTCTCTGCGGCTGACATCGCCGCCGCCACTGAAAAGGCTGAGGCGGCATCGAACACAGCAGCAGCAGCAGGTGCCGGTGGGTTTCCATTGGTTTCTTACAATGACAGCCCTAGAAACCAGGTATATTTCAGGTATTGTTATCGGGTGACAAAGTCCATCAAGGGGTCGACGAGCCGTGACTTATAACTGGTATTTCGAGCTGTGACCGTAAAAGAAACAAACCATATATCATTATTATTATTGTTATTATTATGATGATTATTATTATTATTATATATTGTATTTGGGGATTATAGTCTATTTTGCAGGATCTATTTGACTATCCAGTTGGGTTTTGCTTGACTATCCACTTGTTCTTTTTGGGAAAATATTTGGGGTCTGCAGAGTCAAAGGACCTCTTTCGAGTTGGCGGCGTGAGATTCTATTGATAGATCGGCTTTGGGATATATTACAGATATTCCACTATACCCTCTGGTAATTTATCATAGCTATTGAAAATGGCCATTTATAGTGGATTTTCCCATTGAAAATGGTGATTTTCCATAGCTATGTTAAATTACCAGAGGGTAGTATTTATCAATAATCTATATATCGATAGTCTATTGATAATTCTATTGATAATTCTATAATTGACCTGGTTGGTGATTTGGGAACAATAATCCCATTTGACTTTCATATTTTTCAGAGGGGTAGGTATACCACCAAGCAGTGATTATCGGAAATGTGGATGTTTTCGTGGAGCTCATAGGGAATAGTTTTCACCAGTTTTCTACTATTAGGATGATCAAAAGCGGTAGACATTCCCCATAAATCGGGATGTGAAATGATCAAATGTCGCACCTGACATCACCACCCATGAAACCTTCAGTATTGGATCACTTGGTTTTGGGACCCCAACTTAACTATGGGTATTTACTCTTAGGGGATGGAATCATATCGAATTGGATCTGGTATCGGTATGATAGTAATATCGGTATATATATATATACCCTCTGGTAAGCTAACGTAGCTATGGAAAATCACTATTTTCAATGAGTAAAATCCAGTATAAATTGCCATTTTCAATAGCTATGTTAGTTTACCAGGGGTATATAATATGGAATTGGATCTGGTATCAAAGTAAATATCATAGGGGTATTAATCCTCTCGGGGTGTTTTGGTCCTTCATATTCCGGCACTGTTTGATGGTTGCATCCCAAGCATATCAGGTGCGAGCTCAAGCTCAGCTACCTGGCCCCCCAGTGGAAACATGGAGAAGGCGCACTGCTGGGTGATTTCACAGTGTTTCACAGCGAAGAATCAGTGGTCAGTGGTCGGCCTGGGAAGATGTATAGATATACCCTCTGGTAAACTAACGTAACTATGGAAAGATCAACCATTTTTAATGGGTAAATCTACTATAAATGGTGAAATTTCCATAGCTATGTTAGTTTACCAGAGGGTACTACTGTCATCAATTGTAATCAATTATAAGGAATCTAGCTGGTGTTGTGATTTGATGTGAATAACCTGAATTGTTTGGGGGATTTCACCAATCCAAATATGATAGTTATGATGGGGAAATGTAACTACAACAAAGACTTAGGTTTGTGGTTTCATGCCTAAAACTGGAGTGATGTTCCCAAAAGCTGCTTTCATATGTGTCACTCAACCACCAACTAGTTTAGGTGGTTCAAGCTCTTGGGACCAAGTGATTTTCAGTTTTGGAAGGCCCCAGGACCTCCCAGGACTTGACAAACCCGAAGCCACGTGGGATCACTTCTGGGTCAAAACTCAATCATCCAGATGGAGGTTTCCTGAGTCATAGGGGTACCCCAAATCATCCAGTTTAGATTGGAATTTTCCATTATAAAGTATCCATAAATGGGGGTACTGTACCCCCATTTATGGAAACCCCTAGATAATGAACCTAAGTGAAGCAAACAGTTGTTTCTGGATGAAGATTTGTTCCTTTGGGCAAATCTTCAGATATCCATGATGGGGTCTTGGACCTCGTTGAGACAGCACCAGCACAAATTGTGGGGATGGTCTTGGGATGATTGAATGATGTTTAATGCAATTTACTCAAGATGAATTATAATGACCTCACGGCATGTCGTCACTGGAATGATGGTTAGTAGGGGTAACGATTCCAACTTGGCCTTATTTCAGCTGCTTTTTTTGTTAGTGAATTACTGGAAATCAGCCAGACTTAATGCAGTCGCCAATCAACCTAAGGTCCTATGCCATGATCCATTTCAATCGAATTCATGCGATAGGACCATCACCATGTCATATTCATCAACCATCCACCCTGTTATTTTTTCGATTAGTTGATTTTTGGAATCACTTATGGATTCAAATACTGTTTCATATATGATTTCATGTAAATTTCACACTGACTCTATTCTCATCACTATGAATTATCAGATAGATTCATGTAATTTTGCCACTTTTCATGGATTCACTATCTATTAGTTAATTGATGATCATTTCCATACTCATGTGTTTCCATTGAAAAATCACCCATTTCCATTAGGATCATATCCAATTTCCAGGCAAATCAGTCATACATGATCATATTTCCATGAGGTGATTGGTGTTATCAATTTCCATTGGGTATCCCATGGGCAATTTCCCTGGATTACCCTCTGGTAAACAGCCACAGTTTGCGAACTGGAACATCATCATGCTATTAATGGGTAAATCCACTATTTCGACTGAGCCATTTTCAATAGCTATGTGAGTTTTCATCATTTTTAATGAGTAAATCCACTATTTCTATATTTTCAATAGCTTTTTGTATGTTTACCAGGCCGGGTATCAATGATCTGAAAAATGGAAAGGTCATCCCAGTGGAGAGTCTATCGACTGAAAAAAATCTGGTACCAGAAAGGATCTGATCGCTTGAACTGGTACCATTTTATCCACCCATGATCTAAGCGTAGCTTTGAAGAAAGTCTACGTTTTTTTCCAGATTTATCCATTTATGAAACTAATTATAGAATTATACACTGAAATTTACTGAAATTCATTAATCAACAAACAGAACTTATTCAGTTCATATTAATGCTTGGATAGTCAATTAACATCAATCATCCATTCTATCACCATTATATCACCATAGGTGAATTAACCTTTCAATCACTATTTAGGTGTGCATATCATATAGGTTTTAAATATATATATATAGATTATATATATATATAGATTATATATATATATAATTATATATATTGATATATTAATATATGCAATTACATCCCATTTTAGGTGATGTCGTTTTTTTTTTTAACAAAAACTGATCTTCGATGGTCGACTGAAATCAGGCCATGGAGCAGCTGAGTAGCAATCCGGAGATGTTGAACCAGGCCACCGAGGCTATGAAGAACTTGTCCCCCGAGGCCGGAAACGGAGAAGCCGGGGTGAAGCGCTTCGGAATGGATGGATTTTTGTCCTGGTTAATCTATGGTTAATCTATGGTTAATCTATGGTTAATAATTGGAATATACTATAGATACTAGATTAAACAATGATATATCATATCATCAACTACTGATAGATATTTACTATAGATACGCTGGTTGGTGGTTTGGAACATGGCTTTTAGTATAGGCTAATGATGGTTAATCATGGTTAACAAATGTGTGAATAATGGTAAGATTATCAACTGGTTGGTGGTTGAAAAAACATGACGTGAATATTTTCCATTTCATATATGGAATGTCATCCTTCCCATTGACGAACTCATATTTTTCAAAATGGTTATTGCACCACCAACCAGCATTTAGTGATGCCATTTTTTTTGATGAGAGTGATGTTGATGAGACTTCGATGATATAACTTGATAATATTTGCTGATATTTGATGATGTTGATAGTTTGAACTGAAACTGTTTTTGTCTTTTTTCAGGATATGTTCAATGATCTTGAGATTTAGTAAAATATGGTTGAGAAGCTTATGTGCTAGACTGTACAGACCGTACCTGCCCAATTGCCCCTCTTGGGTAACCTGTTTTCCAGCCTGGGATGACAGTGGTGAAAAATCCATTTGTTGAATATATAACTATAACTTATATAACTACTCCAATAACTAGGGTTTCTGGTAATCATGTATCTACAAATACCCTCTGGTAATCTAACATAGCTAGTGATAGATTTACCTATATATATATATTTATGGTGATTTTCCGTAGCTATGTTATTTTACCGGGTAAATTCCCATCAAATCCCATTCGCCCCAGCCAGGACCTCGAGCGGATGATGCAGTCAGCACCGCTCCCTCCGGGGGTGGATGCCGAAACGGCCCGGAAGAGGATGGAGGCGCCGATCACTGTTGGATCGGGGTCCACCTGGATTGACGGTTGAAATCCGACCCAAATTTGGGTGATCTCTGGGGGATGGTTTTTACTATTTGGGAAAATGCTGTGAATTTCAGCAACTTAAATATAGGGATATACTGGATATACTATATCTGGTTGGTGGTGACTGGAACCATGGAATTTTGAATGACTTTCCAGAAACATTTGGGAATGTCATAATCCCAACTGACGAACTCATATTTGTCAGAGGGGTAGGTCAACCACCAACCAGTATTGCTTTACTAAGATTAAGCTGGTGAACCTGCGAATAGCCTTTTTGGTGGGAAGATAGAAATATCGAACATGTGATTTCAACAGATGGGCATGAAACTAAGTAAAACTTTTTGGTACCCAACTATGAATATGTTTAGATATATCGTGTGATTGGGCAATATTATATTGGGCAGGAAAAGTTCTTTCAAGGGAACAGTCAGTAGGGATTTGTGGGAGAATGTTTGAGCTTTGAACCAAGAAACCAGACGGAAGCAGGCAGGATTGAAATAATAGCGTGCGGGTCAAAGCAGTCCTTGGGACCAAGAATTGATAATACTTGGAAACTAGGTGGACCAAGCAGCTAGCCCACATTCATTTGCCGCAAATATGATCCGTCGTTCACTCAACGCTCAGCCATCTCTTGGCAGGCAGAGTACCATAACCACAAAAACGGTACCCAACTGCCTATATTATTACTTTTTTAAATCATAAATCTATGTAAACCTTAGTTACCCTCTGGTAATTTAACATAGCTATTGAAAATGGCCATTTATAGTGAGTTTTCCCATTAAAAATGGTGATTTTCCATAGTTATGTTAGTTTACCAGAGGGTAAGTTTGTAGTTAAGTGATGTTAAGTGTTACTCTTTTTTCTACACCCGTAACTCCGTGCCACCTCGCCTCGCGGCGTTGGAGGCGGTGTCAAAGAATCCCGAGATGTTGAAATCTGCCATGGAAACCTTCAAGAACATTCCAGATGAGGTGCGACTTGACGACCCGAACTGTAAGCACTGTAAGGGAAAACATCCCAAAGCCCAAAGCTGTGCTTTTCTCAGAATTTATGAGAATAAACATAGGAACATATATAAAAGTTGATTTTACAATATTTTGGATGGTGTTGTGTATAATGTGTACTATAGAGCCGCTTTGGCACTTAGGAACTTAGCTGGCCGTTAGGTGGCACTTAGGAAACTTAGGTTTGATGGTGTTCTAAGTGGGAGCTAAGTGGCTGCTAAGTGAGCTAAGTGTTTCCTAGGGATTTTTTGCAATGCTTATCATTTTTGAAAACATGGATGTTGACATGGTCTTGGGGTGTTCTCCGCCCGTCAAATTTGTTTTTTTGGCTGCTTCCTGATGTCGTGGATTAACGTAAAAGCCAAAGACCGTCTTGATCTTGGCGGCGCAAACGCATACGCTCCTCGTGCATCAAAGTAGAAGCTGCAAGGATTGTCTTTGCGCCAGATAGGCGCTTCCATTTGATAATGATTCTTTGCAAGAAAGGATTGCAATTTTCGCACCGCGACGTAGAAGCCATGTGCATTTGACAGACCATGTAAGATTTCTATGCAACACGTAGCTGACATTTGGACGAAGCTACCACGTAGGTATTCGACGCAATAGATTTGGATGCCTTTGGCAAAGAAGCTTTCAGGAGATATTCCGAGCTCCATTGCTAGCACCACGTCTTGCGTGGGCTTCCATATGAGTTGTCCAGTGTACTCACTTTCGAGGTGACTCGTAGTGAGTTCCGTTTCTGTCATTTGCAGCAGCGTGCTCCGGGTGAAGCAATTCAGCCGTGTCAGGCGCCGAGCCACAATGGACTTAAATATACGACGCTTGCGTTCCCCAGCAAAGCAATCAATGTCTCGCCGCCATCTGTGAATTTGTTCTTGGACATGGAGCGCATAGTGAAACTTGGGTCTTGCCCCCGCTATCGCCCCGTAGGCGATGTCCCATGCACCTTTGATTTTTTCTCACTTTTTCAAAGAAAACCCGCAGACATCCTTAGGAAGACATGATTCTGCCGGTTGCACATCCCGCAGACATCTCGCAGACATGTCCCATGTGTCCCAGCAGGATTCTCCCTCTTGGCAGACACCGCAGACACACGGAAACCCACTCGGAAGCACCTTTTCCACGCTCCGCAGACAAGTGCCGCAGACATGTCAGTTTCATACTTTCTGTCCGCAGACATCCGCAGACATCCGCAGACATCCGCAGACATCCGCAGACACAACGAATTTTTTGGGTGAATCCTTATGGTGATGTTTCTGCCTCCACCTTTGCAGCCCGTAGGCTGCGTCGAGCTTGCCGTAGAAGCCATGCACAGCGTCGACACCAGAGAAATTCCCTAATGCGATTTTCTCGCCTAGAGACTAGAGAGGTGCCATGCCAAGATCGCCAGCCATTTGCCAGCAAGATGCAAGTCGTCAGACAGGTACATCTGATTCCAACCCAATTGTTCACGCCAGGCATTCGTCACTTCCTCGTAGGAAGCCGGAATCAAAGAGAAACCATGTAGTATTGGATGTGGAGGCACATCCCGATGTGTAGCGCCCCACTGCCCGTAGAGCAACAAGGTTCTCAGGCGTTTCAAGACCTTGCTGTCTGCAGCCCTTCCCTCTGCGCATGCCCAGGCTCCCGTAGAGTCCAAGCAACGAGTCTGATCGATTTCCACAGGCCTCGTTTTCACAGCAACATTCTCACCGAAGGACTCCGCTTGGAAGTCACCCCAGAAGTCGGGCTGCACCTGTGCCAGCCACGCAGCCGCTTGAGCTGCCGCGAAGCACTGCACTTTGTCCAGTGCTTTCTGCACACCCACATGCAGCGCCTGTTTATCCCTGACCTCCTCGTAGGAGGTCAGCGAACGAATTCCTCTTAGGAATTTCTGCGCAGCTTCCAATTGCTTTTCAACCGACATGCCTGCAGCCAAAATGGCTGCAAAAACCATAGTGATTTCAGAGCTAACCCAAAACCCTTGCACAAACTTACATTTCAAAATCCAAGCTAAATGGTCACTAAGTGATCTCTAAGTCATGATCATTTAACTTATAGAACTTATATCTCACCCTAAGTCAATAGTAAGTGCCACTTAACCTACCCCACACTAGGAACCACTTAGAGAATTATAACTAACTTGACATGCCACATAGCCACTTATAAGTGAACTTACTTCATGACTTATAAGTCCCTAAGTCCCAGGCTGGTCCAAAGTATGTATGTATGTATATATATATATGCAATGCTACAAAACCCTAGGCCGTAGTATCTTCAGAATGTATCAGAATGTTATAAAATCCTCGGCCGGAGAATCCTCGGCATTGCTATAAATCCTCAGCGACAACCCCTTTTTAGAGGTCTTAGGACTTCATGGGATAGTTGAGATGATCCTCCACTTGTAGCTGTACTTATTCTGGAGTTGGAGTGTGCTTAATTATGTAGAAACATTATGCAACATGTAGCAATCATGAAGCACCACTCCATATGCTGGTTTTGCTTCCAAGCAACCCCACTCGGATGTTTGCGAAGATAGCTCAGGGCTTACAGTAGGAAGAGTTCATATATCAAGGGTTTCCCTCTATGTAGCAAGCAAACATTGTAATTGATGACCTGGGGCCGTCATCATTGAGGTTTTTTTTCGGAAACTCTTCCGAAAAGCCTCCCAAATTCCACAGGATCTCCCTCATTCAAGCCAGCAAAACCTCTCAAAACCTCTCGAAGGACCGAAAAAAAATGATGGCTGCAGCTCAGGTTGGGGCAGTATAGTTTTTCTGTGAGGACGATGGGTTTTGGTTTGAAAAATAGAATGACCGATTTTCCAGAAATAACTGGTGAATGGTTTCCAATAGGTTTCAGTTTCAACTAATAGAACTGCGATATACTGCTATGATGATCCCAATTGACGAGCATATTTTTTTGAGGGTGGCTGCTCAACCACCAATCAAATCTTCCAAACCCATATTGCAATTTCAGAGGATAGAAATCTGTAGAATTCAATAGAAATCTCTGGTCCTGTGCCAGGGGCAGGGGTCCGGTGGCATGCCAGACATGAGCAAGATGAGTGATGCTTGGCCGGCTTGGCTGTTAGGGTGAAGGCTTGAATCATAACCACGGTGTTTTTTTGAGTCGGAGACTTTTTTTCCCACCAGGAAGTTCTGGGTTCAACTTTGTCCACACATAATTTGAATAGCAGTTATATATTATATATAGTGTTATGAATGAATTGAAATTTGTTAAACTCTTTTGAGTACACGTTATATTTTCAATATATAGTGATATGAATTGAAGTGGGTTAAACTCTTTTTGAGTACACGTTATATTTTCAATATGTAGTTATATGAATTGAAGTGGGTTAAACTATTTTGAGTACACGTGATATTTTCAGGACTATACAAGAAATCAGAAAGTTGTGACCTGATTTTTGTTGAGGCGGTTTCTTATTTCCCTAAGGGGGAATGCGACATTGTTGGGAAATCCACTCAGGGAACTAACTAGCGTTTGCCTGAGTAAATCCCTGGGACCATCATCTGTGGACTGATCCCTGGTGATTTTGATCCCTCAAAATGGATGATCCACCAAAACTATTTGTGAACAGGGGAGTTGAGACTTGATTTTTTGAACAAGCAAACACAAACTTCCTGAATCTGGTAAATGCTTTGGAGTTTCGTTAATTTGTGCCCCCCTGGTATAAATCGCTGGCTACGCAAGTCACTTGCGAACTCCCAGCAAACTAAAAAACTCATTTGTCAGCATGCACCCTCACCCTGCACCAACACACGCAGATTGCTAGTTCCAAGCACACTATTTTGGTTGGTGATTAAGTTTGGTGTTGTTGCTCATATCTCAGTCTCACAGATCAAAAAAAAAAAGGAAGGAGAGTGAGGGAATATCTGGTTCATGTTTTTCCCCAATTCTCTACCATATCCCCCATATGTCACTATGTTCCTCAACATATAGACCCCATATACCAATTTCTCACTGGAAATTAAACTTTCATTGGGATTTAAGCACCATCCCAAAAAAGTTGACTCACTATGACCCAGCAAGGTTTGGGTTTATCCAAGGCTAAAGATTCACACCAACAATCTCGATTACAATTGCGAATCTGACCCATATATTGGGGGAGGTCAACTTTGATATCCGCATTACTTGCCAAAAACATTGCTATACTCCCAAAATCCATTCCCCCAATATTTTTAAAAAAAAACAACGCCCCCCATAAACCATGCTTTAGTACACAGATTTGGGACGTTACCATCGGATATTTCCTATTCTTGCAGGCGTAGTTCCAGTTATAAGATGGTATAAATGGTAAAAAAAAAAACATAGTTACAAGGGGTATATCCCAACCTATGGGGATCAACAACCCCAACTGCACTCCCAAGTTATACCCCCGGCGTTGAGTCCCCAGGATGTGCTGAAAGACCCCGAGATGATGAAGACAGCCATGGCTGCGGCGGGCTCCGGGCCCGAGGCCGAGATGATGAAAAAGATGACGGAGAATCCCGAAATGATGCTTGGCTGCAGATGCTAACCTGGTAAACCCAAAGCTTTCAATCCGTGTCTATGACATGCGAAAAAAAGGGATGATTGTTATGGTGATCATGTTTATTATTGTATCACTGTATCATGATATTATCATATCATGGTGTTTCTTATCACATTCCTTCATGTTTGATCAATCATCATTCTGCTAGCATCATTTTTGGTTGATCATTGATGATGAATGATGAGAAACCCAAAGGACTAGGACTAGTGAAGCTCCCGGGGTTGACAAGTTGACTCAGGATGGATGCCATGACGAACATGATGAAGAACATGCCGCCGGATCAGATGCAGAAAATGATGGAGATGAGTATGAAGATGAAATCAGGCTGATGGGTTCCAGGAAAATCTGCGTTTGCATGATATATGAAACTTACCTTAAGGTGTTTGATTACTTCTTGTAAATTACCTGAAGATGCAATGAGGCTGGGATAGCTTCTGGAATCTATTATTGTAGGAAGCTAACCAATATTTTTCTTACTCTAAATCCGTAAGATGAAATCAGGCTGGAGAGGCTTCCCCAACCCATCCGATGGGGTTCCGCACCATCTGACATGTTGTCCCTTTGTTATGTAGCCTGAGATTTCATGACTAACTAGACCCTCAAGTACCCAACAAAATGCTGTGTGACCCATTGTGACCCCATCATTTTGGTACAGAAAAAATGGCCATTTGGTTACCCATTTCTGATACAGAGGTAGATCCTAACCCGGGATCATCCGCTTGGACCTGGGTCAAAATTGTCAGACCCTGCCATGAGGGGGTTGGAAGATGAGTTTCCCCTAAAGATGAGCTATTCTCGGGGTCATACTGTTACTTGGAGTGGTGGTATATATTTTTATATATGTTACTGGATTCGATTGTCATGTGAGACGCTTGAGATAGGTTGAGATCACCGGTTCCTTGTGGCTTTTGGCTTGGGAGCATTTGGGTGGTCAAAAGCCAAGTGTTTCCTGTCCGGAAAATCCAAGATGTCATCAATCCAACCATCAATCCATTCCCAACCACTGGAATCATGGTGAATGTGTAGGGGAATCATCCCCTTAAATAGCCCAACATTTCAAGTTAATGAAATATTATAATTATATAACCATAGATAATAGATAAATACATATATTATATATATTATATTATATATATATTATATTATATATACATATTATATATAATATATATATACATATATTATATATAATATATATACATATATTATATATAATATATACATATTATATATATAATATATACATATTATATATAATATATATACATATATTATATGGAATCCATATTGTGTATGCCGTTGAATCTTCATGAAATCCCATCACTGGTATCCCCCTGATCCATCCCCATCCCAGGTGGCGCTGATCCCAAGGATCCCTCGCAGATGTTGAACGACCCTGAGATGATGGAGGCGCGCCCAAGGACTTCCCAAAAAACGGGAGATGTTGAAAGGAGGTTTCCTCAAAATATGGGGGTTTATAGGATTTTATAAGGAGGTTTCCTAAGTCATGGGATTGATGAAAATATGGAGGTTTCCTAAGTCATGGAGGTAGCCCAATATGATTGGTTTATAAGTTTATGGGATAAACAATAACTATTAAAATGGATGATTTACGGGTACTCCGTTTTTAGGAAACCCCCACATATGTTTAGGATTATTTACAAATATTTGAGATGTAATTATAGTTGTAGTGATGGTTGACTAGGATTATAATTTACAGTTATATGTGTAATACCTAGACTTTCCATAGTTTAAGCATCGTTTTTATGGGTCCAAACGGAGGGTCTAGGTATATCAAAAAAAGAAAACAGAGATTTTATATATAGTTCTATAGTGTTAGAATTCTATGATTATTTGGGTACTTTGGAAGTCTTTGGAAGCTGGACTTTCCTTTTCGTGGTGAAAAATCACGTTGAATCCACAATTCCATTTCCCCATGGCTGGATCTTACACCCCAAGTATCATCAACTATCCAATAGCTATTATCATAGGGATTTAGATGGCCATCTTACACCATCATATAATAGCTATTAAACCCATTCCAATAGCTATCATCCAATATTCTTTTTTAGTTACCCTCTGGTTATGACTAACATAGCCTATTGGTATAGATGGCCCTAATCGAAATAGATGGTTGACCGTTCTTAAAAATGGTGTTTTTCCATGGCTATGTGAAATAACCAGATGGTATAAGGGATATTGTGTGAAGACCAACCAGGACCCTGAAGATTTTTTTTGATTCACCTATGACTATCCCGACATTGTACTCCAAGATCATCCAAGCTCCCTATGTTCATTTCACTGAGGCCGCGGAGGAAATGATGAAGAGTATTTCCCCTGAAGCGCTTCAAAGCATGGCCAAATCCGCAGGACGGGACCGGACGTGGACCATCAACTGGTTTCTGGATTTCGCAACCATCCTCAGGATGACAGTAGTAGCCGGCCTGGTAAACGTTTACATAGCTATTGAAGCCATGGCTCAGTCGAAATAGTTGATTTACCCAGCTACATAGCATGGTGATGTTCCATAGTTTTTTTGTATGTTTACCAGAAGGTAGCTGTTAACAAGATGTGATCCCGACAGGGACATCGAAAGTCCGAGAGTTGATGGAAACATGTGGAAATTGTGGAGGAAATGAGCAGCTGTGGAAATTGTGTGCTGCTTCGAAACCTATGGGTTTGGGGAATTCTCTTGGACTATTGGCTGATGTGAAGTTATGCCTGAAAACACTCGGAAACCTAGATCCGTCGCTATTGCTAACTATGATTTTCATTGATTTTCCATCCTTGTACCAGTTTTTGAATGCCAAAAACATCCCAAAAACCCATCCCACTTAGCCCACTTCTTAAAAATCTGGCGCCAGGAATCGAGGTCAGTGAGTCTCATGCCAAGATGATGTCCAAAGTGATGCCTTATTTGATGAAATGTTTGAAGCTCTGGGGCTTCATCAAGCGGATCTTTGCTGCCATGTTCAGTGCCAGGGGTCGAATCATTCTGGCCGTGGTGATTCTGTTCGTGGCCGTTAGCCAGCACTACCTTTTTTCATCCGGTGAGAAATAAGCTCCCCACCAAAAACACCCAGCGTGCAGCTGAACAAAAAGTGGAAAAAGCTATTCCACCGTGCTGCGCTGCCATGCGCCGCGTTGTCGGTCGGTGTCGTTCGGTTCAAAACTGTTTTTTGGGATAATTCTGAGATGGGTTGCAACCAACAAACAGGATACATACAATCATACAGAACAACGATAGTTTTGTTGCACAGTACTTTTTTGGGGGGCAGATCAAAAAAGACCGAGGTGTGTAAGTACATAAAAGCCAGGACTCTTGAAAGTCCTTCACGAAAGCTACTGCATGACGAAGTACATAGTTTTATGCCTCAGCTTCTGAAATGGGGATGGGTCAAAACTCAAAACTTATTAATTAAGTCATATATTGAAGGGCATCTATTTTGGTTTGAAAACCAGGGTACGACGAGGGGTTTTGACCGCCAAATTGGGTGTATCTCAGGATGCTTTTTTCGCAGGCAACCCAGGTCGGTCGCTGTCTGCCTCCCTTGACTTTTGGATGTCCAGATATCCCACTGAGAAACACATTTAAGGGTGAATATCTCAGTGGTTCATCTCAGGTCCAACTAGATGCAGATGAAATAATCCCAGGAACCACGAATTAATGCTGGTTAATGATGGTTCCTGGGATTCATAGATGATCAAATGATGATCATAATCCAGGTAAATAGATGCAACTAGCCCACTGATCATCATTAACATCTATTTGCTCAGTGGGTTCCGGTCGGTCGCTCTAAGGCAACCGGCTGCTCTTGCCTGCGGATACCCCGCGGGAGAACTTCTCGCACATCTTAGTCTACACCAAATCCGTCGGGGCTCTCGGGGTCCCCCAAGGGGGGGGTACTTTCTCTGAAGCTGTGAAGGCTTACTGCTGGTGGTTTGGAACATGGCTTTTATATATTTTTCCTGGTTAATCTATGGTTAATCTATGGTTAATAATGGTTAATAATTGGAATAACAATATATCTGGTTGGTGGTTTGGAACATGGCTTTTAGTATAGGGTAATGATGGTTAATCATGGCTAATAAATGTTAATAATGGTAAGATAATCAACTGGTTGGTGGTTTGGAACATGGCTTTTATGACTTTCCATTTCATACATGGGATGTCATCCTTCCCATTGACGAATTCATATTTTTCAAGATGGTTATTGCACCATCAACCAGACTGGTGGCGTGACATGCCCCGGAAGCCATGGAACATGTATCCGAAAAAAACGTTTTGTTTGGATGAAATTCACATCATTTCACCACGTGTGGTTTGTTCGTTGGTGATTTTAAGGGTCAATCTGAAAATGAATGAACATGATACACCTCATCTGGTTGGTGGTTTGGAACATTTTTTATTTTTCCATATATTGGGAATAATCATCCCAACTAACTAATATTTTTCAGAGGGGTTGAAACCACCAACCAGTCATGGACCCAGATTGCAGACGAACTACTTGAATGCAGCCTGGAAATCCTTAAATGCCAAAGATTTGATCCCTTGAGCGGCCCCGTTTTAGCCAAGTGTTCCAAACCCAGATCTATTAATTCAACCCAGAATTGAAATGCACTAGATAGATCAATAGTTGGTTTAGATAGTTCACCATGTCAAAACCAGTTGGTTCATGATGGTTCATGTAGATTGTTCACCATTTTAAATGGTCAAAATCAGTCAACTCCTGGATTGCTGATGGCATTCCGACCTGAGCCTAGGAGCTGGCCGAACAAACCACGCCTGCCTTCTTGGCATTTGTGGACCGTTGGGGTCACCGCGGCCATGCCTGGAAGGTTGATTTTCCACTGGATTTTGCCAGTGACATTAGGGTTCCATCTGATAGCAGAGTGACAATACCCCGAGATCCACATGTTCAGCAGATCGGCGCTCTTCAAATGAACATTACATAACATTACCAAAGGATTCCCATAACCCAGATATATGGCATTTGTTTATAACTCAAATGTACCCCTTAGATCCCCTTAGCAAATCACCTCTTCAATTAAAGAGGACTTAGCGGTGAATGTAGCGGTAGTTGACCTGCTTTGCTCCTAAACAAAATACTACTACCCTTTGGATCCCTCTGGTAATTTAACATAGATATGGAAAATTGCATAATTTGATATCATTTGTTTGATTACCTATTAAACATGGTGGTTGTCCAGTTCGGAAGCTATCAAATCATAAAATACCAGAGGGTATATCCCAGGGTCTATCTATCAAATCCCCATTCCATCTCACTAACTCCCATAAAATTCCGTGAACAGCCCATTAAATCCAGACAGGACACAGCGGAGAAAGCTGCGAACGTGTCCTTTGTGGATCAAGATCTGGATCTAGGACCTGAATTCGAACCGTCTGCATCGGTCTCCGTTGGAGACCTGGGAAAATGATATGGGGCTGGGGCAAAACTACCATATTTTTTTGGGAATAACCATCCATTAACCATATGGTAATAGTAGGACTTATCAGGATACCTAGGGTACCAGGCTTTTGACCCATATGGAATTAGGAGGTAGCTAGACCCTCCACGTACCCTAATCTACCCGAAATTAGTAATAAAAGATGGTAAAAGGAATGGGGATGAAGAACAAAACACAATTAAACGTCAAGTATCACTTCATATGGGTACAAACGGATGGTCTAGGTAGAGGTATCAGATGGTGTCAGCCTGGTATCATCATCTATGTTTGGGGGACTCAACCAGGTGCAAAATTGGAAGAACTTGGTATAAGTGATGGCAGAAACAAACAGCAAACATGTGGGAATCTTAAATTACATATGACTCATGTGACGAAAAATTATATGAGAATATTTTTTAGATAGTTTCAATATAAGTATATTAGATAATATATATCAGATATGATCCTGATTTTATTGAATAAGTTTTTCAACCACCGCGTTTCGCGCAGGACAGATTGGAGGTCTGCTGAAATGGGATCCGCCAGAAGATCTTGGTCCCTGGGATTCCCCTGATCGTCGGAAAACGCCAAGAAGAATGGAGCTTTGAATGGGAAAACCATAGGAAAACCATAGGAAAATGGAGGTTTACCCGGTAAAGCAATATTTTGATCTAATGGGAATTTTAACGGGAATATGGTGGTTTAATGGGATCTAATGGGTTTTACCCTCTGGTAAACTAACAGTTTGCGAAATGGAAAGATCCACCATTTTCTAGCTGGGTAAATCCACTATTTCGACTGGGCCATGTTCAATAGCTATGTAACAAATTATCAGGGGGTAATGAACATGGAAATAGCATGAATATGATGGGCCCCAGTCACAAGTGGATTGTTTCACCCCAGGATCTATCCCCAAGGTCCCATTACGGACTACTGGATCTACCTGGCCGAAGACATGGCGGGCAAAAATCGAAGCTACGTTGGGAGCACCAAGGTTGGTGTGAATCAACTGCTGGTCCCAGCGGATACGGTGATGGATACGACGTCCTACCTGCTGGTCTTTGTTGCTTGGCATCTCGGGGGGATTGGCAACAGCATTCTGCGAATATCTTCGAAGCCAGAAGTGATTTGGGGTTCATAGGCCTTGAAAAAAAAACATGGAAGGTAGCTACAGGAAAAACTACCAGCAGATGTTTGGCACTTGCCTGTCCAAAACTATTGGTTGTTCATTGATCCTATCAACATCCCAATGTCATCTTAAGCTTCTACCTATGATGTTGATCAAGATGAAATTGGGATGACATTAACATACATTAACCAACTATCAACATCCTATGTGTTTTGCTTTGTGTTTTCGAACGCTGGTTCAGCAGGTCATCTACGTAGATAGCATATGAGTCAAGACAGAAAGCCACCATCCGGACTAATCCATCCCGGCCCGCGAATGAATTTAAGTTGGTTAATCCTAAGAAATAAGATATAAACCATATATATCCATATATAAACCATAGATGTTAAAGCATTTTAGTTGGTTTTATGATGTTGTCTATTGTTTTATGATCATGAAAGATCTTGGTTGATCAGATATCATAAGTCAGTCATCACAAGTCATTTCAGAAGATATCCTTTAAGTGTGACTTTGTATCATGTGGCGCTTGACAAAAAAAAAAACCTGGTCCAAGTCATGAAGCCCAAGGCAGACCACTAAAAAATGCGTTATTTCATATGCTGCTGTTGAAGATTGATGAAAACTCACTAAAATTTATGTGTGTTGAAATGATATATGGTACTTATATATGTATATGATAGAATCACATATATATATATGTATATATATAATATCACATAATCTAGAATGAATACAAAGCAATACAATGCATACATACAAGATGAAAACACGACTCCTTTGCAATAAGAATCAGTGCCACACACTCCATAGTGCGTCTTCAACATTTCCAATCTAGACTAGAAACTTGCAGCGATGGAAGTGTGTTTCCTAACGTCGGGCGAGACTCTCACAGTCCTTGACGATGAATTGCAAGGCAAAAAAGCCAAGGCGGTGAAGAAAGCCTTGGCAGCCAAGGTTGGCATTTCCAGATTCAAGCAAAGATTCTTTGTGGAAGATGGTTCGCGGGAGCTGCATGACGATGAAGTCCTAGATCCGGCTCCAGTGAAGATCCAGCTGGTGATCTTGGAATTCTACCCACCTGATGATGAAGCAGCACAGAAAATTATCTCTGCATCCAGAGAAAACGACTTGGTTGCTCTTGAACAGTTGCTGCAACAACCACGAAATCCCAATGAGACAGACACCGATGGCAAGACGCCCTTGTTTCACGCTGCAGAGCAGGGACACGTTCAACCTATGGAACTGCTACTGGAGGCAGGAGCAAAAACGGACGAGTCAGAGTCTGCTAGAGGACAGACTCCATTGTTTGCTGCAGCCGTCAATGATCACCTGGACACTGTGCGCCTCTTAGTCGAACAAGGTGCAGCCAAAGATCAAGCAGACAACCAAGGTGTAACAGCTTTGTTGGTTGCAGCTATGAATGGCAACCTCGGCATTGTGGGCGTTCTAGTCGAACATGGTGCAGCCAAAGATCAAGCAGACAACCGAGGTGTAACACCCTTGTTCGTTGCAGCTGAAAAGGGCCACCTAGAC